CCCCCCGGTTGCTACAGCCCTGATACGTGAGACGGGAACGAAGCCAAGCCGGGACTAGTATTATTTATAATAGATGTTCACATGTAACCGGGACGAAAACGAATTCAAACCGGTCTCAAGTCACTCCCGTCTGTGGGACCGAGCCGACTGACTTCAGACCGGCATGAATTCAGACTGGAATGAATGTAAACACAAGTACATTTCAGAACGGTCTCGGCTGTATAAACCTTGACATTGGAACAACACATGCTTACAAAAGCCATCTATTAAAAAAAGAAAATTGCCTGGCAAGTGGACTAAATTGAAAACTTTGTGATTTTTGTCCCGGTCTAGTGTAAACGGGGCGTAAAACGGACATTCGCAATTCAAGAACAAAAAAATGATACATTTCGTCGAGTTTATTTGTTCTTTCAACGATATCATAACTAAACTAAACTATCGAACATTACTTCCCATTCAAATATAATTTATGAAAGTTTTTTTTTACATTTTAGGTTGCTTGGCCGTGATCTATTTTGGTACTGAGGTTCAACGGCGACAACAGTTTTTCGCAATATCTCAAGATTTAATGTCAGTGAAAGGCCAGTAAGATGAGGTATGTTTCTTCTTTTCATAATGCTCTCCTACCATCGGGTTGTCATGTTTTGATCGCGTTATCTCTAGCAATTGCTCATTAAATGGATCAAACAAGAATGTCTTCGAGGAGGTCCCGCACGACTGCGTGGAGGTCCCGCGGGACCGCACGCAAAGCGTTAATTTTCCATCATACACTTGGTGTTCCATGGATAATTCCTTACTAGTATTCAAAGCTAACACTTTGGCGAACTGGACCCGAGCATTACTCGCATCTTTCGGAGTGACATTTAACGTGACGTCGTTGTATTCCCATTGTCCTTGTATGACGTCACTTATACTTGAGTGGACCTCGCGAATGTCGTGGTCCTTTTCGGCGAGTTTTGCTTTCACTTCGGTGAGCTCGTTACGTAGTCGGAACGAGACGGCAAGAGCCGAGCTTACGATAAAAGTCGATGGAATTACGTTTCTTTCCGAGACTAGTCTCAACGTTTCTTCGTGTAGCTTATACGTGTCTACAAGATCAAGTGTTTTTAATTTCATTTCTTCGGAAATTTTCGTGCTAGAGAACAATACTTCGGCGATTAACAGTATGGAGTCGTGTTGTGGTCGGTACGACTTCGGGATTGCCCGGACTACGGCGTCAAACTCCTCCAAAGTGATGTGTTTTTGTTTGGTTCGTTCCCAGAGATAGCCGTCTATAGTCTTGCATAACATCGTTGGAGAGATGATATTGTTATGCACACCGTGTTCCACAATGCTGACAACATCACTCGTTGGCATGGTAACCAATATTTCACATGGGATTGCGCAAAGGTTGTTACTGATAGCAGTTAATAACATACTCTCGCACTTACACCTTAACTGCACGGCTACTCTGTATAACAAACATAATAGTTCACTGTCTACAACGTCGCTTAGTGATGTAGTCTTTGGCAGTTCTAACAAAATTGCATCCATGATATCTCCTAAATCTTCAACTGACGTGCAGGCCTCTCCTTCGTCATGGCGTCGGTGCTCCAAATATTCTTTAATGCTAATCTGATACTCTACGACCATCGTCTCAATATATTTACCTGCAAGCCTGATGATTTTTGGGACGGCTATACCCGCATCTCTTGCGCCGATTATAAGTGCGACAAACCATTCGATTGGTAGTTCAAGTAAGACCTCCAAAATATTTTCTGAGATTTTGTCTTTTTTCATTAGTATGATCACGGCGTCGAAACATAGAGGTAGTATACTTGTCTGGTTTGCAATTTCCCCCAGTTGGCATGCGGATGAAAGTATATCAACGACGGAAGCAGGCTGTCGGGGTAATATCTTGCTCAGCGCGGTAGATGTGTCTCTTCCCAGTGATGTAATCTGGAGAAACTCCGCCGCGCAACGTAACTCGACCACATTTCGCGAGTTTATATCAATTTCTAATCCGTAACAATAATCTGCTATCAAGGCGAACGTCTTTGCCCCGCCTGGAAATTGTGGAAGTGTGACCGTGTTCTCATCCATCATTCCACAACGACACAGCGCTCTGAAGAATTCCGAGTTTAGGAACAGTGGGAATTTATGCAAATGAAATTCAGTGTTGCCTACTATCACACAGATATCCGAGAGTTCCCCGCTATTCCGAAATTCACGCAGCTCTTTTGATCTTGTTAGTAGCATAGTGACTTGTATATTCTCTGGTCTTTATAAATTTTTAAATAGTTCTTTCAGGAGTATTGATGTATAAGTTTAATTAATTAATCAGTCGTCCTCTCTTTCAGAAGGGAACAGAACTTCGCAATGTTTGCTTACCTTCAACAAAGCAAATACTGAAGAATATCACAATATCATTTGGCAGCGCTGGTAATGCACGCAACGAAATTCTTCCTTTAGAAAAAAACTTGTTTTTATTTAATGGACTTTGCAATTTTCCGAAATCTTTAATCTTTTGATACTTCCTCGACGAAGCGAATGCAATAGAATCTCTCAATATCTCCCCGCCAAAACAGCGCTCTCACGAATAGAGAGTTTCCTTCTTTTAAATCTTTGAAAAAATCCGTAACCGATAGCCCCTTTTCCGTGAGATATTTCAATAAAATCCTTGATATTTAAAGTGAAATTTCAATTTTATTTTCCGTCGCCAACGAGACACAAGGACATGAACGCGAAATGTGATTTATGTGACAAGTCAAACAAAGCCACAGGTGTTATATGTTTTGGTAATTAATTATTCATCCATAACATCCGTGTTCCTGAGACTTCGTCTCGACCTTCATCCCACTTAAGGTCATATATTGATTGGCTCGACGGCGAATGGCAATATATTAAATATGGGATCGTAAAATAGGCGTCATGTCGAGTGTTTAAATTAACAAAAGGTTTTTGTTTCTAGATTGGTTAAGGATTTGAATCGAAAAAATAAATCGATTCTTGCTTTAGGTAAATTTGATCTTGTTTATATTCTTGCAATGAAATCCAAATATTTTGGAAGGTTGTCGTACTTAGGAATAGGATGTGTCGATAATTGGGAAGGTTGGACAAAAGAATCATAGATTTCGTCGGCGTCCACGAATTTCCGTGACGCACGCTGTAGTTCCTCTAGCTCACAAATGTAGAAAATTCGCAACTAAGTATTTCCTAGTTGTTTCTGTTCCTCTTCGTGAATTCCATGCAAATTCAATTGTTATTGTGAATTTGGTTCCAAAGTCTGAAAAGCTAATTGAAAGTTTAACTTAACCATGGATGATAAAAAAAAAACACTGTCACTGGATAGGAAACTCGAGACATATATGAGACCATTGAGACATCATCACGCATATTGATGCTAGCTTTCACCGTTTTTCACGGCGTCTCATCCTTGACCTTGTTGAAAATTGTGACATACTCAGTAAATCCAAAATAATTCCAGGAGTCATGACCATGTTTAGCACTAATACAGTTGAGCATTTTAGTCAGAAATCTGCTTGAAATCTCCGCAAACTCCGTGCGAACAGAAATCCGGACTTGTAAACAACGTCGGGCGTCACTCGGACAGCATTGATTTAGATACATTCCAATTTTCTATACGCAAATTTATGAGCAAGAGGAAGCGTGTTTCTATACGCATATAGTTCTCATATACGTATACCCGCAAGAGGCAGTATCAGTATCTATAGACGTCTTTGTCATATAGATGAATGGCCAACGGACATTCTATTACCGCGCTGTCTCCTTATGGAACGAACACTCAACTTCCAGAGAACATTAAATGTAGTTCATAAGTTAACATTTTTACACATAAAATTACGTAAATATCTTTTAGGAAATTACACATAGTAGCATTTAGCCTTTAACAAATTTTAAACCATATTATAGTAATTAGTTAGTTAGAATTTAATGTTAGCCAGTAACTTATAATTTTTTGTAAATGTTAATTGGCTTTGGGGAGAGTTCAGTATTGTATTGAGTTCAATATAGCTGGAGCTTAGATTGGTTGACTTGTGCCGGTCACATGGTTATGAATTTAGACAAATTTAATATGTCACGCGCCGGACTATATATACAAGTGAAAAATTGTTGCCCACGTACATATAGGCCTATAAATGCTCAAAATGAAGTCAAACGTTTAGAAAGGAAGTTTTTCCAGTTTCCAAAAAGAATACAGTCTCTAAACAGACAAGAAAAATACCAGACAAGTTTTGAACAGGAAATGCCGCTGACACTGTGAATGTTGTATATTTTTTCTTCGTCGAAACTTAGTCTCGGGAAACAAACCTAACAAAAATTTTCCTCACGACTCACGTTTAAAAGGTTATTACTATTATAGGAGATTATAATTAGGTACAATTATAGAATACCTGGTCATTAAAACACATATGATTATTGGCTACATGATTACATTTTTTCGTATAGCCTAGGATAGGTCAGAGTCGTCAGGGCGATCGGGAAGGTTTCGATGAGGATCGGGCATTATTAAATAATTTGAAGTTTTTTCTCTTTATTGCTATTAGAACATTCTCCAAGGTATTTATAGGTGAGGACAGGCTTCAAAGCCCGTTATAGCCAATGCAGTCAAGTAATTGCCGTATAACCAAAGTAGCGATGCGCATAGCCAAATCGAGACCCGAAACCAAAGTAGCCATGTATCGAAAATAGCCTGTTGCCACATAGCCATGCATTGTAGCCACATAGCGAAAGTGTAGCCATCATACTCATAGCCGTCTATAATAATCTATATATAGACTGTAGCCACATATTAGCCGAAGTAGCCAATTATCCACTTAGGCATGTAGCCAAAGCGGTTTGCACTGACAAGAATTTGATTAAAATAATGCTGACCAAAAGTTAGGATATAATAATGTAGAGAATAACAAATTCATTGATTTATTACGAGAGAAAAATTTTATACAACCAGAAAAAAGAAAGATATAGCCTATATAAAGGGTGAAAGGGAGAATGTAACTGATTAATTAAACTACTGAATGTTATTATTATTAGTCAGGCTTATGTCGCATGCTTCACTGCATTTTCTTGTATTGCCTTTTTTTAAAGCTTGTGCTTAACTTTCTCGTGTGACGATAAATCGTGTGAAGATCTTTCTCGTGTGACGACATCTTTGGTGCACGTCACCACATCAGCTGGGTGCAAAAACGTTTTTCCTTACAGCAATACGCGTATTTTGTGAACGTAGGTGATTACGAACGATAGATTTTCTACGTCGAAGTTGTTGTTTACGCCAATGGCAATGTTTTTAAGACATTTATACGTCGGGATATTGGCTTTTGAAAAATACGGAAATATTTAAAGAGCATAAAATATTCAAAACTTGTGTCAGAGAGATAGTGTGTTAAACTGAATAGAGCCTGTCGCATTTTTCAAAAACACGTATGCAAAACACCATGTCGCTGGGTGTATATAAACTTGTATGAATGAAATAACGCGATCCAAATTGTTCCATAATATTATGGAATACCAAGTCAATCCAAAGCTTCTATGTTGCTTTCAAGTGGCTACAAGTCATATAGCTAGTAGCTACTACACCAGAAAATTGAAAAAGATATATAGGGATTATGATGGGGAGGGGGGGTGGCACCGAAGCGAACTGGTTTTTCTTGATGCTTGTGATGTTACTCTGAGTGTATATCCACACCGGGCGAGCTTGAAAAATATGCCTGGCCACGCTGGGAATCGAACCTACAACCTTTGGGCTTTGGAATACTAGCCCAATTAGGCCCGTAGCTGAGGGGGGGCCTGGGGGGGCAGTGCCCCCCACTCGGAAATAAAATTGAAATTATGCCCCCCCCCCTTATTCCACATTTTTTGCCATTTAAAAAAAATAGACAACGCGGCTGTCATATCGAAGTCAAGTCAAAGGCGTAGCCTAATTTCTTACTATATGCTGAGGTTAATTTTATATTTTTGTATTAATTTAGATAAAAATATCCACAAATAGTGCGTGATTTAATGTAATTTTGTTTTGTATTTTTCTTTGTTGAGCACAAGTATAATACTTTTACAGTGTAGAAGAACGTTCCGTTCGATCCCAATTTTTCTGAGCTGGAAAGGAAAACTAGCTGCTAGCACGAAAGTCAAAATCATCCCAACCTCTCTGTTACATTCTTTCTGCAGTGCCCCAGAAATTGAGAGCCAGCTACGGGCTTGAGCTCAATTAGGGACGCCGGAACGATGTGAAGGCAAGGGGGGCAGATTTTCGTGAAAGGGCACTTCTGAATTGATATATACTAAGATGATGTTTGCAAAACATCGGGAGTTGAACTTCGCCTAATCATGTTTTCTATTTTTTGGATGATAGGGGTGTGAGGGGGTTCTCCGCCAGGCGATTGTGCTATTCTTGCAGCTCAATGGCTGCATTTCTTGCGTTTTCTGAAGCAAATTCGTAAAAGAATTGCACTACCATTTCTGACAATTCGCTATTTCGCCAAGGCAAAACTTTATATTGAAAGGGCACCTTTGCCCCCCTTGCCCCTCCTGGTAAAGGACAACGGGGGCGACTGCCCCTCCTGCCCCCCCCCCCAGTTCCGGCGTCCCTGAGCCCAATGCTCTGCCAACTGAACTACGCGGTCAGGTCGGTTCGAGTTTGTTAGGTTCGATTCCCACCGTCGTGGCCGGGCATATTTTTCCACCTCGCCCGGTGTGGATATACACTCAGAATACACTCAGAGTAACATCACAAACATCTTATTCACCTGTGAGTACACTACACCAACCAGAAAAAATCAAGGTATGTCTCGAAAAATTGTTTTGGTATGTTCCGAAAAAAATGTTTTGGTCTGTCCCGACAAAATTTTTTGGTGACCTGTAAAATGTTAAGTTTGCCTGTTCGGGCAAAATATACTGTGCTGATTGATTTACATATTGTATTGAAATATGATTCTTGACATTCAATATTTGAGTGAGTCATGCTTTGGAAATGACAATACATTTTTATAACCCAACCCTCGAGTTGTTTTGTTTTTCATTCACCCAACCTTCTTCTCACACAAAATTTTGTTTACCCAAACCTTTTCTCTTCGGCGCCACCACCGGCATAATTAACTGGTACTTTTCAGGTAGTCGACTCCCTGAGCCTATCCCTATGTTCCAACATGAGCTCCTCCTTTGAATTTACTGAAAGGGAGGCTGGTCGCGAGGAGGTGGAGAATTTTTTCAAGATTTTCAAAAGAAAAGTTTAAAAAAGTTTTAAAAAGAAAAGTTTAAAAAGTTAGATTTTCAAAAAAGTTAAAAAAGTTAGATTAGGGTTGGGGGTTAGGGGTTGGGGTTGGAGTTAGGGTTAGTGTTAGGGGTTAGATGCCGCGAATTTATCATTATGATAAATTCAAAATGTGCCGCGAATTTATCATAATGATTAATTCGGACGTGTTTAAGAATTTACTCATATAGTAAATTCAAAGGTGGAGAGCTAGCTCATGCTGCTATATTCTGGTGTTTTTGATACTATACCCATGCTGACACAGATCGTTCGAGGACTGCCGGGTACGTCTCTATGTCGCTACATGGCTACTCTATATGGCAACATAGCTAAAGCTTCAGCTACGTGACCGGCTTTGGCTACGTGGCTAGTTGGCTTTGTGATACAGCGTAGATATGGCTATACTTTGGTTACGTGACTATTTTGGCTAAGTGCATGGTTCCTTTGCCTTTGGCTGCAAACATAATACACCCACAGTGACTACAAAAAAATTAAAATCGCGGCAAAAATTGCAAACGGGCCTTCAGGGAGTCCTATAACATCAACTTATATCGGCTCAAAAAGCGTGATAATTTCTTAGAGTTCCTGCACATGTTGCTTGCCAAAACCATATATAAAACCATAGACAAAATATAAAAAACCATATACATTAACTACACTTTATTGACTAGAATTTTTATCTAAACTGTAATGAGCAAAAATTTCGTTCCTTTGTCTTGCGCACTTGCCACTCTTGCATTCTTAATTTTGCCACCAGTTTTCTTAATGCCTAAATACCAGAAGCTGGAAGAGCCTTGGGAACATTTTTCTGATTGAAATGTGTCTCCGTTGGCAGCGTTTGGTAAATATATCAGAATTGTTTCAAGATTTTGTTCTTTAGGCTAAATGATGCGGGAGAAAATTACATAGTAGATACACAAGTTATCACGAACTATACAACCCTTACCATAAACTTAATACTCACCATACCTTAATCCTAATTTTAACCTTATCTTAATCAGAACCGTAAGCATAATTTATTCATAATCTAAATCACAACTTTAATCGTAATCTTAATCATAACCTTAAATTCTAAACTTGACTCAGTGGCGTAACGTTATATCAGGGGCCCCCCGGTTCAAAATTTTCGAAGGCCCCCCTAGTAGAAGTACCAAAGGCACGAGTCGAGCGCCGTATATGCACGAATTTTCTAGAGGGTCCAGGGCATGCTCATCCGGAAAATGTTTGAATCTAGGCTCTCTGAAATGCCATTTCCTGGACTTTGGGGAGAGATTTTACAGAATTCTGATGGTCATAAAACGACATTGTAACATATCAGAGGCCCTGGCCAATGTTTATGCTCTATCGCCCAAGCCTGGGGGCCCCCATTTGGGTTGGGGCCCCCGGGTTCTCCCGGTCTGAACCCATAGTAGTTACGCCACTGACTTGACTCCAACCTTAATCGTAATCATTTTAATCCAAACTTTATCATAACTTTCCTAACCCAAACTATAATTAACTTTATTCATAATTTTAACAAGATTTTTCATCCTAACTAACCTTTTTAATCCTAAACTTAATCATCACTTTAATACTAACCTCAATCCTAACCCTAATCATACTATGATGTTTGTGATGTTACTCTGAGTGTGGATGCACACTCTGAGTAACATTACAAACATATTCACCTGAGTACATAACACCACTGACACACACAAAATAACCTAATTATATCATACTGTTTTTATCCGGCTGGTGGTAGCCGTCTACCTTAAAATTTCAGGACAGTTTAAAATTTTTAAAATATTTTTTTGGCTTTATTTATCACATAAACTATTACATTTTCACTTCATTGTGTTTTCATTCGGATATTCTAAACATTTTCGTCGAAATATCCGTTTATGTAGAAAGATATCCGATAATTCTGCTTAGCAACGGTTTATTTTTACTATGTTTACTTTGGTTGCTATGGGTTTTTTTCATCCAAAATTATAATATTTTGCCGCAACCCCCCCCTCCTCATGCAATAGTGCAAAGGAATTCCCCCTAATTAATCCTAAACTTAATTATAACCTTAACCTAATCTTAATTCTAAACTTAATAATCATATCCTAATCTTAATCCTAACATTAATCATAATGTTAATCATAACCCTACCCTATTTTTACTCATAATCTTAATTCTAATTTAATCTTAATCATAATCTTAATCTTACTCATAACCCTAGCCGTAATTAATAACCATAGTCCAAACTCCTAATCTAGAGTTTACTCAACAAACACAGTTATTATTCTCCTTAGACTGCAATCCTCATCTACTGACGATTTTAATTGTAAAAGATTATTTAATCATACCGTTGAGTAGACTTTGCCAGTCTTGCATGAAATTGCTATGTACTTGCTGTATTTTACATTCAGCAATCTCACTTTGTACGTGTTCTTCTGGAGACTGTAGAGCAATGCCTTGAATTTGACTAAGGATGAAACATGCAGTAACAATTATTGAATGTAACTAATTTTTGAAAGGTTTTGTAGATAGAAATTTCCAGTGTGAATTTCATACGTTTATCAGACCTAACCAGGAGAACGTTTGAAAAATGTAACTACAGTAGAACCCCACTAACTCGAACTCCCAAGGGGAACGAAAAATTGTTCGAGTTAGCGGGGCTTCGAATTAACCGGACTTGGTGTCAGATTTCGTTTATTATGTTAATAATTGATAAGGTATAAAAGTTTTATTCACTGTTCATCAAAATTACAAAAGGTTTAATTGTGCATTCCTATAACTAAAGTTCTTTATATATAGTCAGTACTGATCTTTTTAACTTGGGTGCTCTTCCGATCTATGCAATTTCCATGCAAACTAAAGTTCTTTCCACATGAAAAATATGTAGAAATTTACAAAAGGAACTAAAAAAATTAGATCAATAACAATCGTCGCAACTATGTGTATAATCTCTTTAAATTTATGATCATTTATACACCGATTAAATTGTTGTTATTTGAATAAAAATCCAAGTTACTGGTTGTCAAAATGCTATGTTCTGACATTTTAAGGTTTGCCGATCCACGACTCGAAAACAAAGTTCGAGTTAACGGGGTAAATTTGACCAAGGGAAAACAAAATTTGTTCGAATTAGCGAGGAGTTCGAGTTAAGCGGAGTAAATTACTATAAAAACAGTGTCAGATCTAAGGGGAATTGGATTTACCTGCGACTCCGGTGCAGTGCTTCAACCAACTGAGCTACAGAGTCCAGTTGTCGAAATCTAATTGCAAGTTCGTGTACCAGACGCGTAAAAACGCACAGCTTGTAACAACCTTGTAACAAGTCTGTTCACAAGCTGTCAACACTGAAGTTGTGTTCGCACTGCTTGTTCCAAGTTTGTTGTAACAAGTTTGGAACAAGCTGTTAACAACTTGTAACAAACTTGATGGCATTATCAGCCTTGTTACAAGACTGTGCCAACAAGTTTGTTACAGCCATGATATAACAAGGATGTTACCAGGTTGTCAACACAAGGTTGTAACAATCTTGTTATACCAAGCATGTAACGGACTTGTCAGAACAACCTTGCAACAAGTCTGATAATTTCGACAAGGTTGTTACAAGTTGTCAACAAGTTGTTCCAAACCTGTTGACAACTTGTTACAAGCAGTGCGAATATATCTTGTTGACGGCTTGTTGGCAGACTTGTTACAAGATGTGACATTTTTATGTGTGTACATGAATTATCAAAGCCAAAGTTTGTGTTATCAGCCGAAGGCTGGAAGCTGAATGACCAATGAAGATGTTTCGAAAGCTTTCATGGCTGTTTTCGTGATATTTTTCTTTCATGAGTTGCAAGCTGTTTTCGCAGATATTGTTTCTGTATATTTTAAATTTTGCTTCCCTTGCTGTGCCAAGGCTGTGCCGTATTGTTTTGGTCGTGTTTCCACATTTTATATTTCCACAACATGACGTCATAACATTAGTATGATTTGTTCATATCAATGTTATGACGTCACTCCGTTTAAGATTATGTCAAAATTCCATATTTGGTCAGCTATTGAGTTGATTTCACAGTTGGCTGTTAGCCAATCAGAAACTACGAATTCTTTTATAAAATGGGCGTGCTTGAACAAGATTGTGCTGTACCCCAAGAACAAGTTGTCAACACTGTCGTTACAGCATTGTTACAACTGACCAATGCTGTAATAGAGAGTTTAAGATCTACGACGCGGCCGGCTCAATGACGCGGTCTGAATTTCAGCTAAAAAATGAACGCTAAGCAATTTCATTACTGTAATAAACGTTTGACGATTTTCAAATAACATTACAAACTGCTAAGTTTGACTAAAGCGATGCAATGTTTGCTGTAATTTCGACATTAAATATCACCTTTTGGGTCGCAATAAGCTTCGCGTTGCTTGAAAGACGTCATAATGCTTGGTTTAACGTTCTGCTGAGCATGGCAAAGCCGTTGAGAATACCCCTGGGAGTTGGGACCACAAATTTATTCACAGTTTTTGTCTTGCATGACAAATTTCTTTCTTTCACAAGCGCGTCGTTGAGCCGGCCGCGTCGTAGATCTTAAACTCTCTAATTAACAATGTTGACAACCTCTTCTATTGAAATAACGTATTGTTAAAATTTGAATGCCTTAGCACTCTGCTGAACCCACACGTGCATCAAAACTTGACATAAGTAAATTTTATGCATAAAAAAACTGTTTGCGAAGCTGCTTTAAATTCCCAATAGCAGAAAATCTTGCGCTTTACAAAGATATTTTAATTTCTTAATAAAGTCAATATTTATAATATATGCACCCTTGTCAATATTTTACGCATCTTTGCGTTCAGCCTAGTGCTAAGGCATTCAAATTCTAACAATACGTTATTTCAATAGTTTGGGTGTTTTTTTGGGACACCCTGTACAGGGTGTCCCCAAAAACCGAAAACTATTGTATTAGCAATTCGATTTCAATTCCCAGTGGCCTAAAATCTTTTATGCTTAAGAATTGCAAAGTGCATTCTTAGCGGGAAATTCCGAGGTTTGCACCTAGTATACTGTACAGGGTGTATCAAAAAAAAGGAGACCTTTAAAAATCAAGCATATTGTCAAAATTTGAATGCCTTTTCAATTGCACATATGCTGAACCGTGGTGCGTGAAATATTGATGGAGTGCATACAGGGTGTATAAAAAAAAGCGCAACCTCGGGATTTCCCAAGAAATCCACATTGTTTTAAAGAAAAAAGATTTTATGCGCCTGGGAATTTAAAATAGCACAACTGTCAAAATTATTGCACACGCGAGTGCATAAAGCAAAATTTATGCATTTATTTAATGCACAACAACAGTAATATGATCTATTAACAATCCGATTTCAATTCCCAGGGGCCTAAAATCTTTTATGCTTAAGAATTGCAAAGTATTTCTTAGGAAATTCCGAGGTTGCGTTTTTTTTTATACATATTAGCAGAAACTCGACGTTTCGAGCGAAGGCCCTTCGCTCGAAACGTCGAGTTTCTGCTTATTTTTTAAGGTAGTAATATAACCACTCAGCACAGCATTTTCACATTGGTACTACCTACACTGGTACAGACAGTTTTAGTATTTTTTTTTATACACCCTGTAATGTATTAGCAATTCGATTTCAATTCCCAGGGGTCTAAAATCTTTTATGCTTAAGAATTGCAAAGTGCATTCTTAGCGGGAAATTCCGAGGTTTGCAGCTAGAATAGGTTGAATTTTTTTGCGAAGAGAGGGCGTGTAGGTTGCATTTAGCCGCTGTGATGGAAGGTGGTAGCTGGTTCAGAAAACCTTTGAAAGCAGAGGAAAAGCGTCTTTTGGTTGCCAGTACTATTCCGAAGAATACAGGATATAATACAATATACAAAATGGGCCGTCAAGGTTTTCGAAGGCTGCTAGGAATGTGCCCTCAAGTTAGCGAACTTAGATATATCTCAAGTCGGAGGCTTGACTACACCATTACATGGTATGAACGCAGAAACATTAAATATGTGGCTGAGTCGGTTTGTGAAAGAGGTTTGCAACGCGAAGGGGGAGGGAGATATCATCCAGGGCGAACTTTGTATGTTATAATTTGTGGTTTGAAGCGATATTTGAGCGATAAAAGTAGATTGAATCTGTTGTGTAGACTGTGGAGACGATAAAAGGTGAGTAGGCAGTATTTTAAGGTTGACATGACAGATTTTAGTTGGTGCATTCCGATACTAGATCCCGTGAAAAATACGGATTCTTCACTTCCCTCGCTTCACCGAGTATACATCGAGTTATACAGGGTGCATGTATAAAAAGAAGGGTAATCGAACTTCAGCGCCCCATTGTATGTGAATTGCTCGGCATATGAACAATTTCTTTCATATTCGGAAAGATCAGGCTTTTAGCTATTGAATGACATTGAAGTGAAATTCTTTATTGAAGTGAAATTCATCAACTTAAGTACCAAAGTGGATTAATTTTCAATGGTTTTATACTTTTATACCCAACTCTCAACGGTGAAAATCTACGATTCTAACTAACATTTTTATCGGATTCGTATTTGCTCATTTTTTATCCATTTGGCATGAAGCAGGGGCGGCGGAACCGGGGGGCCTAGGGGGGCTAAAGCCCCCCCCCCCGAAGTAAAAGTGGGGGGGCTTAGCCCCCCAGAAAATTTAGTTTTTTGTGGAAAAATTTTGATAATTAAGGAAAAATTTAGGTTATTGTTTGAAAATTTAGGTATAAGGGGAAAACTTTGCAATATTTTGTTTAAAAAATGTGTATTTCCGGAAAAAAATTTTGGTATATGTCCGGAAAAAAATTTTTAATCTCTTTTCTCGTATATGTGCGGAAAAATTTTTGTACCCCTAAAATGGTAGACTGACCAAAATTTTTTTGGCGACGGGGAGGGGTCACGGAAAAAAAATTTAGCCCCCCCAGAATGAAATCTGTTCCGCCGCCGCTGGCATGAAGAAGATATTATTCAACAGCTAAAAGCCTGATCTTTCCGAAGATGAAAAAATTTGTTCATACGCAGAGTAATTCAGATAACAATAGCGCGCTGAAGTTCGATTACCTTTACTTTTATACACCCTGTACAATAGCACCAGTGTTTAATAACTGCGTGTTTAATTCTTGCGATAATTTTTGGACGGGGAAATAAATTGGTGCTTGTTAAATAATTTTGGTATTGGATTATGTGAATATGATTTTGTTTTCATAATGCATGGACCGATGAGATTTTAATAAATATGCAAATAATTTAACATCGTAACAGAAAAGATACAACACGAGTGTTTGCATAACTGATTTGCATATTATTAAGGCCCCGTTTACACTATACCGGATTCGCTCGTCACGCGATCATCTTCTGCCGTTAAGGAGCAATGGTTAGTAGCAAATGCTTATTAGTTTGACAGAATTGGCTTGTTTATTTGGGTCTCTGAGATTAAAAATCTTCAGCCTTTCAATGCCTACAAAATTTGACCCACTCCGACAGCAATCCGGTATAGTGTAAACGGGGCCTAAACCTCATTTGGATGGGGTATACAAAGGTGTGCATGTGACGTAATCCGTGAAATTTGATTGGCTATAAACCTCGTTAATTATACTCGATAATTTGCACCTACATCAGATGTCCTGCAACTATTATCCAATGGACCTTTAACCTTATAACTAAAATTTTGATCTAGACAACAGTTCATCACAGCTTGAAAGAGCATCACAAAATTAGTAATATTCCGAAGTTTCGTTGCGAAATGTTGTAAAATGCGGATAATATAGCCTTGCGAAATTTGCAATTTTCAGTCATTTTAGATTACAAACGGGAAATTGATACCCAAACACCCGATTTGGGTATCAATTTCCCGTTTGTAATCTAAAATGACTGAAAATTGCAAACTTCGCACGGCTATATTATCCGCATTTTACAACATTTCGTAACAAAACTTTGGAATATTACTAATTTTATGATGCTCTTTCAAGCTGTGCTGAAATTTTTGTCTAGATCAAAATTTTAGTTATAAGGTTAAAGGTCCATTGAACTGATGAGATGCCAACAAAATCTTGATATTTACCCATAACCTAACACGGTAGTACCCTAGACCTAGTATATATACATGAACTTGTGATTAGAGCTCGGACGACTGAGTTCTGTAGCTCAGTTGGCTAGAGCGCCGCGCCAGAATCGCAGGGCCGCAGGTCATCGATTCCTGCAGGCGGATGATCTTCAGGGTGTATAAAAAAAACTGAACAGATTTGAAATTGCTCTCAATTTCGCAAGACAGTTATTAGTGTCCAGTTTTTTATGTATATAGCTTCCTTTGGTATTATAATGTAGAATAATGAAAAAAATTTCTCGAACTCAAATTTTGTAAACCAGGGAGGGGGTGTCTTTTCCAACAAACTAAAAATGGCTTGCGCACGAAATTTAAAAGCTTTAATAATATTTTGATTAAAAACCCAACAAATTTTCCACCTATTAACTCAAAATATGATTAAATCTTTTAAATCTCGTGCGCAAGCCATTTTTAGTTCGTCGGAAAAGACACACCCTCCTGGTTTATAAAATTTGAGTTCGACAATTTTTTTCATTATTCTACATTATAAATACCGAAAGAAGCCATCCATATATTAAAAAAACTGGATACAAATAGCTGTTTTGCGAAATTGAGAGCAATTTCAAATCTGTTCAGTTTTTAAATTTCCGTCTACAATACCCATTTCAAACTCATTCATAATTCATAACTAAATTAGCCAACCATGTTGCTTTATTTTGCTTACATGATAATACTGAATACCTGGTAAAGTATATTGATTCAGTCCTAGGACTGGATCAAGATTAATTCACCTCACTTTAAATGGTGATTTATTCGTACGAGATGTTATTTCAAATCCTATCGACTATGAGGACGGGACTAGATTTCAAGGGCTGGACTAGAGATCAAATTGCGCGGACTTGCATGGAATCTAGTGCATTCAATCCTCATAGTCAGAGTTGAAATATTACTTCAACTGTTCGTTTTTACGCGTGTAGGTTGTATTTATGTAAAAATGCTGTGCTGAGTGGTTATATATTACTACCTAAAAAAATAAGCAGAAACTCGACGTTTCGAGCGAAGGCCCTTCCTTAAGATTTAGTAGGGCCTTCGCTCGAAACGTCGAGTTTCTGCTTATTTTTTAAGGTAGTGATATAACCACTCTGCAGCACAGCATTTTTAAATTGGTACTACCTACACTGGTACAGACAGTTTTTGTATTTATGTAATCAATTTTTAATACTCCATGTCATTCAGTCAGTTTCAACTGGAAAATTGATTTAAAAGGCATATGACTCGAAAATTGACGGTGTTATTTTTTAGTATAATTTTAAAGATCATTGAAAACTGTGTGGAGTAACTTCTTTGACTTCTTGCTTCGTTTTGGAGGTATTTCATTTTGTATGATATGCAAAGGACTAACTTTCTAGGTCACACATGCCTAATGACTTACTTTAAAATGGTATATAATTTTTGTCACTATCAAATAAATTCGCTCAAAATGAATAACGAGCACGAGATTTGTCCACAAAAACACCCATGTATGTTTTCTACTGATTGTGTTTAGTCGCATTAAAGATATAGGCAGCTTTTAGGGCTAAATCATTATGCATATGTGACTTAGGAAGTTGGCCCTTTGCAGGGACGTCGGAACGATGTGAAGGCAAGGGGGGCAGATTTTCGTGAAAGGGCACTTTTGAATTGATATATACTAAGAGATGTTTGCAAAACATCGGGAGTTGAACTTCGCCTAATCATGTTCGCCCTGGCCCTTTGCATATCATACAAAATGAAATATCTTCAAAACGAAGCGAGAAAACAAAAATCTATCAAAGAAGTTACTCTGCAGTTTTCAATGATCTTTCACATCAGACAAAAAAATAACATCGTCAATTTTCGAGTCATATATGTCCTTTAATTAAACCAATTCAATATTAAAGAATTTATACAGTACATACTTTCGGGAGCATCAAGTGATCCGTTTGCATAAACTTCACCATACTTGTTGATTGCTAGGAAACCACGTCGGTTGAAGATTTTGACAATTTTGGTGTTGGTTGGAAATTTATTTATTTTTGATCTGTATTGCCACTCGTGGGATTCCATCTCAATATTGTTTGAATCTCTAGGCAAATCTGATGTATACTCCCAGGGTTTGAATGCTCTCGGTGTATCGTTATATCCGTCTTGCAAAGGAACGACTTCTCTCACTGGGTCGTTCACATTTCTCTCTATATTTTCAATTTCATTTGAAAACCATGATTCCTTTGGGCTTCTCTCGTTCTGGTCGAGGTTATTGTCAGACGCGCTTGCTTGGATTACTGTTAATATGGACGCGACTGCAAAGAACTAGGAAATTTAACAAAAGTTTTCACTTACAAAAATCCTGTTGATTGATGGTGTGGCAGGGTTTATTTTAACGTGCAGTTCTACACAAAATGTGCAGTTCTAAACCCATTTGTGCAGTTCTTAAAACATCAATGTGCAGTCACCAAACTAACAAAAATAGCCTTAATTAAAACAGTCTCCTCATTTACTCGTTACCCTTGTGGATGCTCCAGAAAATTCCAGAATTGCTGTCATTAATTGAGCATCAAAAATATAAACGTTTTCTGGGGGGAGAACTCCAGACCTTCCTATTTTCCTCACAAATCACTTATACGTGCTGGCGTAATGGAAAAGAAGGTAAAATTGGGGCGAGCGAAGCAACCCAAAAGAGATTAGAGTCGGAGAACCTAATATTCGTTGCTGCCTCAAATGCAAATTTAAGGTTGTTATATATTGAATATCCATGATTCCCACTTACATGTTTTGAAACAGTTTTTGTGAGTGGTTGGGTAAACAAATCTTTGCCAGAGCTATAGGAGCCTCTAGATTCAAATTGTTTTGGGGAACACCCCCTAGCTCCCGCACCCAAAATCGAGTTTGTCTGGCCTTTCTCCAATTCTCCCACCCAACCACACCATTATTCTGTCACCTATATGCAGATAAAAAATCCTTCGACCCCCCCCCTCCCCCGTCAAACACCCGTTGCCTTCGTAACATCCCTAAATGTGCAGTTCTAAATTTTTCTTAAAATAAACCCTGTGGTGTGGTATTACTGCACATGTATATGTCTCGAACGTGATGGCCCAGATAGGTAGTGTTCTACAATAAGCTGCTGCGGTTTGTATCTGAACTACCTGAAAAAGATATCTCAAATGTGGTGGTCCAGTGTAGGTATAGCATCCTACAATAAGCTGCCGTGGTCTGTGTTTAATTAAACTACCCACAAATGCACAATATACTAGTCTAATACTTCTATTTTATTCGATATTAGCAAAGATATACAACTTAATCTGATAACTTATTATTGTGACGTAGCCTGAATCCATGAGACGTACTGTATATCAAACTACGACTGGAAATATCTCGAAAACCGCGAAGCATAATTATACGGAACGAAAAACTGCAAAAGCAATTATACCGTATAGTTTGTATATACTTTAAAATAAGACGATAAAAGTTTTCGTTATAGAGTATAGTTCATGTGCATTTTAAGTGACGCTTTAATGAATGCAACAAAATAAAAGTTCCGCTATTGACTTGAGTGCAGCCATGGTACGCAGCCTGCTAACATCTTTGCGATATTGTTTGCATATATATAAATATAGTCGTCCACTTCAGATCACGGCCAGCAAATAATCTTTAAAAATTGTCAGGCATTAAATTTTAATTCACAAAGTGGACTGTATCTTAGCACGATGATAAAAAATTCTGTCAGTTGATATTTCATTCAATATCCATTGGAATTGTTTCAATTGACAATTATTGCTTCATTAGATACTTAGATCAAGTATTTCTTTTTCTTTCACACGAAGTTGTTAAAGTGCCTGAATGATGAATCCTAATTTGCCTAAAATACATTATTCTGCATGTCTTTAATAAACCTAATTTCAGACAATAATCATCCCACGATTTCTAACGAGTCTGTATATTGCTAATCACTTTCAGATTAACTTGCGTGGTCTAAAATTTTGCGTGCTATTTTTAACAGAAATTTTTTTCAAGCATCAAAATTTTTCCTCGTGTATTTTTTTACAAATTATAGGGCAGATAATAATATAATTTGTAGGCTTTTTTGTGTATTGCAACTATACTGTATCAAAAACAGGTCGACGTTTTGCGCGAAAGCCCTTAGTCTGGAATTTAATAGTGAATTTAGTTTGCAGTTGTTAATTCTATATAAATTTTAGTACGGATATAGCCTTGTTTCATGCATGATTGAACTAATATCGCTAACTTTTTAATGGTAATTTGAGCAGAAACAAAATAGATGAGTATATGTATTAGTGATATAAAATTATGAGCTATTAAAGCATTATGTAGTAATATAAATTCGCGTTTCGCATTGTTCATAAGCAATTTTTTTATTTAACCAAAAATACTCCCTAAATATTTCCTGAAATGCTTACCTTAATTTGGCGCATATTTCCAACAATTCTTGAAAAGCTTGTTTGAAACTTCACTCTCGACTGATATGCGGGAACAAAAGTCAAACAGTTGATTTAACGGTATTGATCAGCATGTATATTTAAATTTTGACAAGTGCATTCGTGTGCAATGCTTGCAAACATATGTTTTAAACTTTGATAAAACAGAGTCTTAGTCTTTTTTACGTTACGCGTTCTGATTGGCTGCTGTGTGCGTCATTGCAACAATTAACAATTCTCATGCAAGCTTGCGATCAAATGCCCAGACGGAAACGCTTATACCATGCAGCGTTTAGCTCGTTAGCAAGCAAAAAATGTTTCGATAATGATGTTTCAAGAATTAGTCAAGCCTCGTTGAAACGACATGCAATCATGCAACATTACAGGGCTTAAGCTGATTCATCAGTTTTACATTGCGCATTTTTACTGCGCATATCTAATAACAAGTTCTAGCTAATATATGTAGTCGACCTGCAATGTAAAGAGATAAGGAAAGAGTAAGGGCAAAGAGAAAAACACTCTGCATTGATTAGGCCTGCTTCAGGAAATATACCTTCAAAAATGACAGAACTCTGGCTAGGGCTTCTGTGTAAGTAGTGTAACTAACGCTAAACCACATCATGTTGCATGTTTAACTCTTGTATCTCTTTAAGAAGGTCCGTGACCCTACTTTATTTTGTTTTATATTTTTGTTCTTCTATACGTCTTAGCTACATAAGAGAAAAATCATTTCTACAACTTATAATATTTTACATTTTACGTGCATGCTTTCCAAAATAACTTGTCTGAGAAGATGGGAAAAGACATCTTTGCACCACGACAATGCACGTCAATGGTTTTTGATTCGCTAAAATACCATGTTTCTTTGTATATAATCACTAGATGGCCATTTTTGGTAGGATCGTTGTTAAAAAATGGCGCCATATGTGGGGAAAGCTGGCATATTGCACTTGTCATATCTTCGCCGAAACGAGTTCGGTGACCCCAACTTTTTTCTGTTTTCAAGTCAGTCGAGCCGTTATAGATGGCGTCAGCAGTTTTCCTAGGAACTCATAAAATCAAGAACGCCAGTCAATGTAGTTTTACGTCACGTGATTTCAAATAAGAACGGCTGTCGCCATCTATAACGACTCGGTTGACTTACGGTTGGTGTTCGTGTTGTCAAAAAACGTGGCTTGTAAGCTCTTTCATGATCACGCGCACTCGTCAAATGTTGCGCGTTGCATGAAAATTTTTAACAAAATCACATGTTCCATATAAATATATGATGGGTATTGCTTATTTGGAGGTTGGACATTAGCTTAGTGCACCAAATAGCCCTACATCGAAAGTGTTCGTTATATACACCGTGGCATTGTTGCAACGCAAATTTCTATGAGTTTAAGGCCCCAGTTACACGATACCGGATTCGCTTCGGAGCAACATCAAATTTTACAGTTTCAAGGGGAGTTTAGCACTCAAAATTATGATTACTCATAATATAACAGAATTAGTCAAAAACTTCAAATATGAAAAGTTGTAAGAGGCCGAAAGCGTCTTAGTTGATGTCGCTCGACTCGCTCCGATGCGAATTCGGTATCGCATAACTGGGGCCTCTAAATAGGACGTTACCCATCTTGCGCGCTCAATGTTTAAGGTTTATGATTTTTGAAGGACAAGTTTTTTTCCATTTTTAGCTATACATATTTAATGCACACTTTTGTGCTGATGAATAGAATATGATTCAGATATAGTCACAATGAGATAAGTGTGTGCTCATGCACTCGTGTTCTTGAAACTATCAGCCGCTAATGGTTTCTGATCGATATCAATTCAATTGCACTAACGTGAATCAGGCGAGGCATACATTCACTTTGACCTATACTGCAGTTCTTCAGACGAAGATTGACTTTCCTTGCGAAAAGCTTCCTTGCAATTCAAGAATTTTTTTAAGTTTGGAGCTTTGTCGAACAAAAAAAAATTTAAAGTTTATAAACAATCTAAAATTTGTGAGTTCACTTCAGCCAGGTATAATATCAGTCATGTTTTCGCTCGCTACTCTGGTTTTAATAAGTGAATGTAAGGTCCAGTAGAATTGCATTCACGACCCAACATTTCGACACTCCAGTCTAGTCTCTTCATCAGGGGTGATCTGAAATCGCAAAGTGACTTATACAGTGTGTATAAAAAAAGTAATCGAACTTCAGCGCGCTATTGCACGTGAATTACTCGGCGTATGAACAAGACTTTTTTCATATTCGGAAAGATCAGGCTTTTAGCTAATGAATTTGAATGACATGTTTTTCATGCCAAGTGGAGAAAAAATAAGCAAATACGATAAAAAATGTTAGTCAGAATCGCATATATTTTCACCTCTGTGCCTAATTGACCCTAATTAAATACCCCCAATTAATTACGAACTTGTCATAGCTGAGCTAAGATATACTACTTATAATAATTGCGTAGTTTATTGAAGTAAAATTCATCAACTTATAGGTCCCAAAGGGGTTAATTTTCAATGGTTTTAGACCCAACTCTCAACGGTGAAAATATGCGATTCTGACTAACATTTTTTATCGGATTCGTATTTGCTAATTTTTTCTCCATCTGGCATGAAGAAGATATCATTCAACAGCTAAAAGCCTGATCTTTCCGAATATGAAAAAATCTCGTTCATACGCAGAGTAATTAAGATACAATAGCGCGCTGAAGTTCGATTACCGTTCGGTTCGGTTTTATACACACTGCATGTATACCCATGGGATGACGCATCTGCCAACAAGATGGATGTATTTTTGCAGCCAATAAGCATCGTTATGCCTGTTCAAAGCACGTTTCGACACAAATAAATATGAGTAATCATTGGGTCGTGAATGCAGTTCGACTGGGCTTTGCATTCATTTATTAAAACCAGAGTAGCGAGCGAAAACATGACTGTTATAAACATTCTGTTGGAAAGTCTGCTTTGAAATTGTTTCGTCAACCTAGGATAAAGCCAAACGGTTTTCAAACAACCAAACCTGGTTTTCTATTGATGTAATTTATATTTGCCTTACACGAAATAGAAAATTCAATATCTTTGAGATATAACATTCATCTTCACGACAAAACGTACATTTTCGGTTATTCCTAATACCGTGCTTTTATGACAAAGTTAACGAATTTTTCAGTACTAAAATTTAGTTTTTGTCTCATTTGAAAGAACTTTCAAAATAATTAATAAAGATTTTTACAGCGTTCTCATTCATATCTTACTTGGTTCTCGAAACCATTCACAAGTGGGATGACGCAATTTCTTATCTTTACAGCCAGTAATCAATATAAGCCAAGACCGTGTTTTTGTTCCTATTTCAAATTTCGAATTGAATCGGAATAGAAGCATTTTAAACGACTTTTGATATTTAATAGGTCATGCATAATTTTATATAAGGGTATCCCCATTTTTTGACGTCAACAAAACCATAGTAGGTTTGCCACAAAATGTAAATACGTAATTTTGAACGTTCTTTTAAATGAGGCAAACTAAATGTTTAGTTTCAATGTAGTTTAACACCCGCATTTTACAGGAATAGTCGGAAAGAGTCTCGTGCATGCATCCTTGGTAGCATCTGTCGTGTGTGCTTTTAGATAACGTAAATGCGTGCAAGCAAGATACTTCATTGAAATGGTTAAATGGTTCTTCCTATGTTCAGGGATATCATTCGTATAATAGCTCTTTCATTCATTGCTGTTATCTTATTAAATTCTAATTAACATCTTGAGTTTCTCGTTATCTATTTAGAATGCCTCATTATGTGGCCATTAACGACACAAAGCAGACGCTCAAAGACAATGCACAACTGCGATGAACATCTTGCCCCCAATAAGTGTGTCCATTCATCATTATTTATAGCCAATATAGGTAAGACGCTTTGAATTAATATTAAAACACTCGTTAATAACTCGTACGTTTTGTTGGCAAATTATGTCAAGCTGACCAGTACAAAGTCAAAGAACGTGCATTATATTTTCATTTCTTCATTTTCTTGTAATGTACATTTTATGTATTTTGCTAAGTTTTAAATGTTCTGGACTGGCTTTTGATTAAGTAGAGATGTTATATCTCACGATCACCAAAACATGATAAAATAGCCCAAAGATGATGAAAAATGGCACTTTACTCTATAGATCGATATTAAAAATTTTCCCCGGGCAACGTACTCCGGACCCCCTAAATGAAGACTGTACTACACACACAAAAATCTCACAACTTGTCAAGATGTGTTCACAACAAGCTTGTAGCAAGCTAGCGCTTGTCAACAAGATGTAATAATGTTGTTATTTTATCAATTTGTTACAAGGTTGTCACTCACAACTTGTTGACAAGTTGTTGAATTGCAGGACGATAACAAGTTGTTGGAACAACTTGTAACAAGTCCGTTGAGCTCAACAACCTTGTGCATGGCAAGTTGTCAACAAACTGGGAACAAGTTGACAAGTTGATTCTGTTGACAAGTTGTTGGAACAGCATTGCTGCAAGTCTGCTGCAGGTTTGTTACAACTTGTGCGTTTTTACGTGTGTATCTCATAAATATCTTAACTACACACGCAAAAATCTCACATCTTGTAGCAAGTCTGCCAACAAGCCGTCAACAAGTTGTGTTCGCACTGATTTGAACACAAATCTAATAACAACACGATATTTGACAGGACAGATTACGAGACTTGTTACAAGACAAACATATAGATTTCCATGTCGTTGGATCATCAACGTCAAAAACGTCTTCCAGCGCTAACTTTTAATATTTAGAAAGTCCGTTTTTGAATTGTCCTAAACTAATGTTATTGCTTGTGAAACATTTTGGTATTACGTTCCATAATCTCTTTGTTCGGTTGAGAAATGAGCTTTGGTAGGTAGTGGTCTTGCATTGTGCCGTTGTAATTGACAGATTTTCACGCTTTCTGAAAGTCTCGCAACATCCCGCGTGCATGGATCACGCAATCCTGCACGGTATTCCTTTAATATTGTTACAACCTTGTGTCGTCAACCTTGTAACATTCTTGTTATATCATGACTGCATCGGACTTATTAGAACAACCTTGTAACAAGTCTGATGGTTATAACGTTACAAGGTTGTAACATTACAATATTGTTATATCATGACTGTATCGGACTTGTTGGAACAACCTTGCAATAAGTCTGATAGTATCAACAAGATTGTAATCATAAGTTGTTAACAGCTTGTTCCATACTTGTTGACAACTTGGAACAAGCAGTGCGAACACAACTTGTTGACGGTTTGTTGGCAGACTTGCTACAAGATGTGAGATTTTCGCGTGTGTATAGTACACGCGTAGAAACGCACATGTTGTTACAGGTCTGCAAACAAGTTGTTACAAATCTGTTCACAAGTTATCAACAAGTTGTATCAAGCTTGATGGCATTATGAGACTTGTTACTAGGTTCTTTAACAAGTCTTATACAATCATGATATAACAAGAATGTTACAAGGTTGATCATACAAGGTTGTAACAGTATTGTTATATCATGACTGTATCAGACTTGTTGGAACAACCTTGCAACAAGTCTGATAGTATCAACAAGGTTGTTATAATTTGTTAACAGCTTGTTCCAAACTTGTTGACAACTTGGGATAAGCAGTGCGAACACAACTTGTTGTCTGGTTGTTGGCAGACTTGCTATACACGGAAAAGTCTCACGACTTGCCAACAAGCTGTCAACAAGTTGTGTTCGCACTGCTTATCCCAAGTTGTCAACAAGTTTGGAACAAGCTGTGAACAACTTGTAACAACGTTGTTGATATTATCAGATTTGTTGCAAGGTTGTTCCAACAAGTCCGATACAGTCCTGATATAACAATACTGTCACAACCTTGTGTCGTCAACCTTGTTACATTCTTGTTATATCATGACTGTATCAGAACTGTTAGAATAATCTTGTAACAAGTCTGATAATGCCATCAAGCTTGTTACAAATTGTTAACAGCTTGTTCCAAACTTGTTACAACAACTGGGAACAAGCAGTGCGAACACAACTTGTCGACAGCTTCTGAACAGATTTGTAACAACTTGTTTGCAGACCTGTAACAACTTGTGCGTTTTTACGTGTGTACACTACGAATGTCGTGCGTTATTTGTGTGAATTGAACTTGAGGACTGTTTAAAAGCAATTTAGCCTCAAATTCAGTGGCGGGCCAGGCCTCCAAATTTGGGGGGCATTTGAGGGGCAAACTCAAATTTTGGGGGGCAAGATAGAATTTTTAAAAAGGTCGCCCCCCAGGAGATTCGCCTTGGTTGAGAAATGGTTGAGAAATTATTGTTACAACTTTGTTACAAAGTTATTTGGCTATCGTTTGAAGTCTTTCAAAAATTATTTGAGATCCTTTGCTACTTGATAATCTCAAATGCGTTAATAATTCATGAGTAAATTAGCCAACCGCTTTATTTTGCTCACATAAAGCCCAGTTTCTATGTGGTCATAAGTAACGGTCGTAAAGATTGAGTCACGATTAGCCCGTGGGCTGTTAGCCAAAATTATTTCGCTTCGTGGCACCCATGTCGGAAATACTTGGTTTGGGAGGGTTATTTGAAAGGCATATAGGTACATCACTACCAAAAAAAGTTCCCAAGCAAAAAAAGCTGCCCAATCCCGAGAAAATGGGTAATCAATGATTATCCTCTATTAAATTGTATTACAACAAAAAAAATGGGAAATTCTGTATTCAATTACAATAAAAATTACTTGCATCATCGGAAAACGTACAAAAAACTGCATATAAGACTTTTAAACAGTTTTTTGAGTTTTCAATTAGTCTTTGAGTTATTGCTGTTTTAAATGCGAAAATTGGACCAAAATGTCGCAATAAGGACTGGGTACTAGGTCAAAAACACGTTTTTGACAGCGTATAACTCGAAAACAATTTTAGATATAAAAAAAAACTGTTTAAATGTCTTATATGTAGGTTTTTGTAAGCTTTCTGATAATGCAAGTCATTTTTGTTGTAATTGAATACAAAATTTCACATTTTCTTGCTGTAATACAATTTAATAGAGGATAATCACTGATCACCCATTTTCTCGGTCTTGGGCAAGTTTTTTGCTTGGGAACTTTTTGTGGTAATTAAGCATCTATGGTTCTATGATCTGAATTGAACCACAGAAAATCTATTTCCCAGGAGGGTGCCACGAAATTGCTTTTCTAGGCACTTTTTTGCGCAACAGCCCACGGCCTAGATCTTTCTCATCAGCCGAAATACAACATTTTAGAACTGAAAATACGCGGAGTGATACTGTTTATAACTATAGAATACTTATATGATTTATGTGTGGTTTACAGGTATACAGGGTTTATACACCCAAAAAAAAGTAGTACCCTCTATAGAAATTATCATATTATTGTTATAATTTGAATGCCTGAGCGCTATGCTGAACACAATTTTTTTTTATTTATTTATTTTTTGCCCAATTTTCCAAAGTACAATAAAATTTAACTATTTACATTTTTATAATCTATACGTAGGGCTAGAGATCTTTTAGAAACCCTTTTGGGCTTTTATTTTAAGACCCCTAGTATAACAAAACTTTTATTACTTAGTATAATTTCATGATGTCATAAAAATAGTACATAATATAATAACGAAAATATATACAATTGTGAGAGTGTTTAAAGGAAAGTTAGTCTATTTACAAGATTTTTCAGATTTTTTAAACTTTATACATTAAAATAGGATGATTAATTAGCTGATTGGTGTGATACTATAAAGTATGTTTTCACATTTTTTTTGAAAACCATATATGATCCAATATTTTTTAACTCCGTACTTAAATTATTCCAAATGTCAATACCTTTACTAACAACAGATTGTTTTCAATAGTTTGTTCTTGTATAAACTTTATGCAATTTTTTTGAATTTCGCGTGCAATGTTCATGAATGAGTGCGTAAACACAATTGAATTGAATTTTTAATTACCAGTCGCATAAAATCCTGTGCTTAACAACAATAGGATAAATTTCTATAGAGGGTACTTTTTCTTGGGACACCCTGTATAAACTATTATAAACTGGCCGTTGAGAAAGATCGTAACTCTATTTTTACGACTATTACGAGCATATATATACAGAGACGAGGCTTTATAATACTGGATGCCTGTTGAAGTATATATATTGATCCAGTCCTAGGATTGGATCAAAATTAATTTACCTCACTTGAAGTATATAGTGATTTATTCGTATTAGATGTCATTTCAAATCAACCTCCAATTCGGTTTCGGCTTCGCCTCGGACTTGATCAAATTGTGCGGGTTTGAAATCTAATCCAGTCCTCATAGTCGTGGACGGATTTGGAATATTGCGTAAGTTATGAACGTCTGTTATAAATTGCCATAATGAGCCATCAATAATTCAATCATTTCAAAATTATCCGTAATGTCCACCGGCGTTTTTCCATCGTAGCTCAAGACGTCAGGATCCGCTCCGTGTTTTAATAAAAACTTCGTGATCCTCATGTCTTCCGAGTTCACACTGTAGTGCAGAGGTGTCCAGCCTGTGCAGTCGTGTAGGTTAACATCGGCTCCGAGATTAACTAAAACACGAACGCATTTCATATTGCCGTCACGAACAAATTCGTGTAAAGCTGTCCCACCATGAGTCGATGTCAGTGTTGTATTAACTATCCCGGTATCAACGCTTGGTCGTTTCAAAAATTCAACAATCTCACTACTATCTCCCTCTTTGACTACCTCTTTAAATACCAAAGAGTGGGGAAATTTTACTTTTCGTTCCACATTCGACATCTTAAGTTTGTATCACTGAAACTATATATCCCACTTGAGAAACCTGGGCTTTCCAAAATTTTCACGTTTGAGTTTCAAAGCTTTTGCCGTCAGAACTATACTTGGATAATACAACTCGTTGATGAAATTATCGCGTCTTTCGACCTAATTGTTTAAACAGAGTCACTAATTTTTCGGAGTTTTCAAAATCACATGGAAAACAAATGACTTATTGTTCTGTTTAATCCCTTATGTCACAACGGCTTACGTCAAAATAGTTTTAGCCAATCATCAGCTCGGATTTTTATTAAATATATCAGTTTTAAGACCATCTTGTTTGATCAATTTAACTCTAAGTTTATACACGTACTAGCATAAATGTGGGTTGCTTTAATCCATTTTAATACACAACTGAAAATTTTTGCTCATATATTCGCTGTTTCATAACCCGGCTTTTTTCTTTTGATGGTATTGTAACAAGATTGTAGCAGTTTGCAACCGTATTGTAACAACATATATACATAAGCGTTTCACTAATTGTTTATGCGGCAATTTAATGTCTCTTTAAAACGCGGTGTTATTCAAATCTATGCAAGATTAATTAAAGTTAAGCTCAATGGGGGTAGAAGCGAATACGATTAGATCAAATACAAACTGTGTACATTACAAAGTCGTGTCGTATAATCAATTTCCGTACGTTTACTTTTCCATCAACCAAATTACCAGGCTATAATGCCAGCCTCTTCTTTTAATAGCGCAAGGCATCTCAGTGTATTGAAAAGCTGTAGACCAATACGGAATTTCGACTGCACACCCAAATGTAGTTGAATCATATAACACAGGGCCTTTTTTAACTTTTAGCCAAAGCCTCCCCCCCCCCCACCAACCATTTTGCCCCCACCCGGCCCAGTCAAAGTCCCATTGGAAGAAAAATTGAATTTATATAGAAGGGAGGTTCTTAAACCTCCCTTCTATATAATTTCAATTTTTCCTAGAATATTAAAATATTCTAGTAATTGAAATGGGCCGAAAGTGGTACATTTTCCCGTGCATTATTAATTTTGCATTTTCCCATTGATTCTTAACCTGCCTTTTTTACGTTTTCTAATTTTCTGGGCGGTAGGCCGTGACTGATGGGGGGGCCCCTCTAACTGTCGGGCGCTCTTAGTTTTTGAACAAACCCTACCCAATGAGCTTTACGTTACGCCACTGGATAATGTCATTTCAGTGAGTTCACATTATTACAAGCACAACAAGAGGGAACAAACAGCGTACATTAAAGAGAAATTAATGAAACGGGTATTTCACTTTAAAGAAGAAGCGTGCGAGGCAAGAAGATTGACTGAAGTTGATGAATTACAATACACAACTGCAGTCATGCAGATTTAGATCTTAGAAAACACGACGCCCTTCAAACTACGCACCTGCGAATCGACGAAATTCTTCAACCAAGACAAAAAGTACAAATAATTTGTGAAGTCTCTGTCAGACGAGAATAAGCGTTGATGAGAGCTGGCAGCAAAACTTCGCCATTTTGTCAATACCGAAATTTTGATTCAAGTTTACTATTCCAAATCGTTTTCCATTCTGTTATAAATGGTGTTCTTATTTGGAGCAACACATAGACATATAAAACGAACATTGAATCTTGATATTTACACAAAATCTACCTTGAATAGCATGCAGACACCGCATCAGGCTTAATGACACGCTTCAAGCAACATTATTACAATAATCGAATATTTTTGCCGCTCATTTTTTAGCTGAAATTTCGCATTAGGGTGACCACCATAGTACCATAACCATCACTGCAGTGTGCCCAAAGTTTTCTTTATATTTCGAATTCAAGACTATTTATTGTGTCTTGGATTTTATTTTCCACTTGAATGACTTGTATTCTTTACAGGTTTCCTCTCAACTGAAAGTAGTGGTTTTTAAAAGTAAAGTACAAGTTATTTAAACTGTGCGTGGGCATCTCCCCAACTGTTGAACATGCTGTGCCCTGCAAACGATCATTTGAGAATTTTAATCCAGGTATTGTCTTTTAGAAGCGAAAGCAAAACTTCAAACTAAAAGCAAAAATGGAAAATGAAAGCTTATTGTATGAAATTAAATCCTATCTGCGCTTATATAGCTTTGCACAATTTGATTTTCATCAATTCTCATCGTGCTTTCTTGGATTCTAGAAAAGGATGGCGAGACCCGATTCTACGAAACTGGAAGAAAAGAACGGTGAAGATGCCGTCAGTCCAATGTCTGAGGCTGATATAAATAATGGACAAAGTATTATCAATCAAGGAACCATCAACGATAGTACATGTTCAAAGCCAGAGCAGAATGCCGACAACGAACACACTAGGAATTGTAATTCTAATGATGGCAGTGTGGGAGGTGACGATGGCGTCATCAAACAATCGCCGACTAATTGTGAAGGCAGTATAGCAAATAATGGCGTACCTTCTAGTGACACCAACCCCAAGGACAAAAACCATGCAAGAAGCATTAGCGAGTCCAGCAACCACTCAACTTCTGAGGAGGATGGCGCAGTTGGCAACGTGGTTTCTAGATCGTTATCTTTTGTGGTGAGTATGTTTGATTAATAACCTAACATTGTATTAGGATATTCTTCAAGCGTTTAGAAGTGCATTAATGGGTGACTTTAACTGTACCATCATGCTGATGGCGGTCCAGCAGTTTGAGGTCAGGGATTTAAGTTACTGAGACTCCGAGGCCGGCCATTGCTCAAAACGTTGAAGTGCTTTTAACCTGTTCACGTAGTTCAAAACTATTTACATCTAGTAAGAACATTACATATTATTATTATATGTATTTATCGATAGCATAGACTAGTGGACTGTCCTTAAAACGATCAGTTCTACTTATAAAATTTGTTTCTATTGGATCTAGTTTCTCTATTTCTAATGTTTCCCTCTTTCACAGGTAATAAGTAGTGTAATTTATGTGACGGGGAGGACATTTTTAAATTAAGTCAATACAATGTATGTCCCGTCTCTGATTAAATGGAAGTAGTTTAGGCGAAACAAGAGCTGAAGAGCATCTTCATAACTTCAGGTCAGGAGTGATAATCCTTAGAGCACGTTTTTGGATTTTTTCAATATCTTGCCTTTGTGATAACGTTAGACCTCCGGTCATATAAGTCATCGAGTCATGTAAGTCATCGAGTTAGTAAATTAACAGGCAGGGTACTGTAACAAGTCACTGGCTATTTTGTGCCTCTTGGTGGGCCATCTGACTTGTATTATTTTATGATTTGTACTCACAGCGCGCTTTAGGTGAATGATCTAGACAATGCGTGTCCTTTCCCAACGAAAACGAGAAACTGTTAGAACCTCTTCTAATATGTCACCAATACACAGTAGATTCATGCTGATCCCATCAATGTGACCGCCATTGGCTTTTAGTATTAGTCTTAGTCCTATCCAGCTGTAGTTTTTATTTAGATCAGTTTTTGTTCTACTTCAGGATGGTCGAGACGAAGAGGTAATGCCCTCCAGAAAAGTACAACTGTTCAGTTGTAATCAACAACCCGGGAATGAAGGGGTGTTTTTGAAGATGGTGATGCATCGTGGTGGATTAAAAGTCACTACAACAGGAGTTCAAAACGATCCACACAGTAATTATTCAGGCCTATTAATTAGTACTTTGTAGTATCTGAGTCTCAACTGCGCATACACCAGCCTACACCTTGGCCATCCTTGCTCCCAGGGCCTTTCGGCCGCGCGCGACCTTTATACACGGAACCGGAAGTGCAAGAAAACTTGCAGTAGTTTCTAAAGCGCATATTTTCACAGAGAAATATTACGAAGAAACGAAGTATTTGTATTGAAATATTTTGATAGAATAGTGTTTAGGTGCAGACCTCCTCCCCCCACCCCCACCCCACCCCACTCACTTCCACCTCACCCACTTCCAAACGCCACCCACTTGCAAACCCCGCCCACACCCACAAAATGCGGTCACCCACCCCCTTAAAATCCGGTCATGCTCAATATATTCTAAAGTACGGTTGTATACCTAATGCCAATCGTCAAAAGTGTAACATTTTATTTTTGGTTTCTCCTAGCATTGTGGATCACCCATTATACTGTAGACGGACAACGACGTCAAGTCGTGCTGTTTGAAAATGAACGCTGTAGTCAGCTGACAGGCGAAATATGTGTATTATACACACAAGAAGTTAAAGAATCTGCAGATTATATTTTAACTGGGAAGGTAAAGTTATCAATAGATCACTGGCTATCAATAAGCATATTTTGCATCCGATTGTGGCCAATCTGTAGTTATCAGAATGCAGGGGTCTTCCTCGACATGAATAGAGGTATAGTGAACACAGGCTAACTGTGTGGCAGACAAGGTTCATGCATTAATCACTGCGCCAAAAACATCCCTTCAATGGGACATTTTTGCCATGGCGTATTGGATTTGAACACCTGAATAGCTAGGAGGGTCAATCCAGAATGGTCATTTTATGCGTTTTCGGAGTGACAGCTGAATTTGTTTTTGCTTTAAATATCTGTATGGGCGCTTAATTTGTAATTAATTTTCATATAGAGCTCGAAAATTCGATTTTAGAACTTCTCGGCATTTTAAGTTTTAGAACTACCAATTTTACATTTAGAACAATCCTTTTTGAAAAATGGGAAGCCTTGAGATGAAAAAATAATTATCAGTTACTGAATGAGATTGAGCAGAATTATCAAGCCGAATTTATTTGCTCGTCTAATGCAATTCAATAGCAGCAAACCTGGTAGAATTCTTTGGATTTTTACACTTTTTTAATGTTAAAGGAAGTTGTTTGTGTTATGTGCTTGACTCCTTTGGGAATTAAATTCAGCTTGATAGGCTATGATTAGGATAAATGTGCTAAATTGGACCTATTACCTAATAAACAAAAATTTGATATAGACAAGCCAAGACAAAAATTTCATCATAGCTTGAAAGAGCATCACAAAATTAGTAATATTCCGGAAGTTTCGTTGCGAAATGTTGTAAAATGCGGATAATATAGCCCTGCGAAAATTGCAGTTTTTCAGTCTAATAGAGACATTAGAGACCTTAAGGAGGCTCCCTACAGTTGCGTGCGGGATCTTCGCGGGACCAGTACGTGAACTATCCCACGCAACCGCATGATCAAAACAAAACAACATTTTCTTTTTTAAAAAAAGCTATTTCTGAAAGGTTTCTAATGGGAAAAAGCGTTGAATAATACTTCGTTTTGAGTGCCAAATTACTTGCGAGTCTATACAGCAATTCTACATATGATACGAATACCACTAGACCAACAAATAGCTACTAAACAATGTGTTTTAATGTTTTTAAAATATACATTGTCAATTGTAAAACATTTGCAAAATTGCATACAAACGTTTAAAAAGTTGTTTATTTCTCAAGAAAACGTTCACGTTTTTAGTCGTGTTTCTACAAGATTAAAGTGATGATATGTAAACAGAAAAATATTTCAGTTTCATAGCCTAATTGTTCATTTTTAGCAAAAAGTACAAAACCAAACATGAAACAAAAAAAACACGTCCACCTGTTAGTAGGCTGTTACAGCTCATAGATTGAGTAAACGGCAGGATTCAATTAGCTTCAACCTTGTTTTCATCGATTTAATCCTTCACAATAATCCTTGGCTGTCCATAGCACTCAAATAAATCGAAAAGTTGACAAAAACAAAACAGTAAAAACAACATTGCGGCTCGATTTTGCTGAATGAAAACTCGTTGTGCGCCCGCGTACAATCTTTTACTAGTCAGCGACGCTTTTCAACAGGGGAATTTCTCGAGTTACACGAGGCTATTTTCTAACTTTATTTGCATTTTACTCATTAGTTTCATCGGTGACCTATCTTCAAATTTTGACCACGAATTTATTTTGCGGTAAATTTTATAAATTTCAAATTTTAAAAAAATCTGTAGTGTGGAAATTTCGCAATAAATTTTTCGCTTTTAAAAAAATTACACACTACAGAATTTTTTTAAACTTTCACCACAGTTGCAGAGCATCATTCCTTATTGATATATGAAATAAAAAAGATAGGTCACCGACATCGTTTTTGAGATAGCGGCACATTTATGGGTTAAATTGGAAGGCTTTATGCTGTCGTCATGTTGCCATGGGAACATTGACATCGTCGAAATCTAGTTCGAAATATTCCTTAGGTGACCAATATTGCCCCCAAGTCGAAAAGAATTCGCGTTTTGCACGAATAAGCCTGTTTTACGGAATCATTGCTTAAACAAGAATAACTGTAGGGAGCCACCTTAAGATTGACGTTTACGGTTTGTTTTTGATTTTACAACTCTATTATTATAGCTTTTACACCAGTTTTGAAATATGTTAAACTTATTAAACTTGTGCTCTTTATCATTAACCACTAGTCATGCCATTCACCAAAGCAGTAAATTAAGATTTGGCGTTTGAAGTTGACGTTTGGCGTATAGATTTCATGCTTTAACGACTACAAGCCCTCGTAGCAGTTCAAGCATGAAATTTATACGCCAAACGTCAACTTCAAACGCCAAATCTTAATTTACTGCTTTGGTGAATGGCATGACTAGTGGTTAATTTGCTTTCTTAAATCATTGCTAAAGAGCACAAGTTTAATAATTATTTAATATATTTCAAAGCTGCATGGTGTAAAAGCTGTTATAATAGAGTTGTAAAATCAAAAACGTCGTTAGCGGTTTGACGTTTGCCGTAAAAGTCAAGCTAAATGTCTCTATTAAGGTCCAGACACACCGGACGCGATTGGACAATGCGACGCGATTTTTCGATTTTCACTGACCGATAACTTTGATCCTAGTTTATATTTAACGAATATTTAACTAGCGCTATATTCCTGTAACATTTTGAGTTATTTGTTCTACATATCTTTCAAAATTTGCTCTCATTGGCTGTTCAAAAACTAAAAAATCGCGTCGCGTTGTCGAATCGCGTCCGCTGTGTATGGACGCAGTGCTATATTATCTGCATTTTACAACATTTCCCAACGAAACGTCGACTGAAATATTACTAACTTTGGGATGCTCTTTCAAGCTGTGGTGAAATTTTTGTCTAGACTTTTGGTTATTAGGTAATGGGTGAGTTAGGTGTATACGTGGTGTTTCCACTAACCAAAACTTATATTACATAGCAAAAGGTTATTTCAAAGTAATTTTGGCTGTTTTTCTTCCTAGAAAATCAAAGCAATCCCAGAAAGGCTGATTGAAATAGAACCATCTCTTGCTTTCTTCAAGCTGCCAAAAGCAATTGGTAGTGAATGGCTCTTTCTTGAATCTTTGTTGTCAACGAAAGAAAGGAAATTGCTAGTAGGTTTTGATGGCGCAGGGCAACCTATCCCCCTGAATAAAGTAGATAGGGATTCATCTGACTTTCAGGCATTTTTCAAAATACTTGAAGCTGGCTAATATAAACATTTATGACCTTTAATACAAGCTTGAAAGCACATTCTCCTGGTTATGCTTAATTAAGGCAGTTTTGAAGTGAATGACCTTAAATCGTATGTGCAAAATATTTAATTGTACCTATATTTAGGTTTAACGCTTTCAATTATTTAATGAATACCCACATTAGTTAGGCAAGTTTCGTACAAATGGACTTTAGATTTTGCTAATAAATTAAAATGGTAAACCGAATGGAACTTCGATTTCATTTCACCAATAAAACTTCAAATAGATATAAGAAATACACACCCACTTAAAGATTTACGAAATCAGTTATTAATTTCTTGTTAGTCAGTCAGTTAATTAGTTAAATGTTGTCTGCCTTTTCTGTTAGATTTGATGCGTTTTGCTTTTAGAATTGAGAACGCAACATTGATTGGGGAGGGGGGAGGGGGAGGGGTGCCGAATTGTATGGGACGAACTGTATCGGATCGACTTGCAATCTAAAACTGCATGTGTCCCAACAACTTTAGAAAGTGATTGTAGTCGGCTAGTGGGTTAGTCAGTTAGCTAGTTAGTTAGCTAGTCAGTTACCTAGTCAGTTAGCCAGTCAGTTAGCTAATCAATTACCTGATCAGTCAGTTAGTTAGCTAGTTGGTTAGCTAGGTAGCTAGTTAGCTAGCTAGTCAGTTAGCTAGTCAGTTAGCTAGTTAGCTAGTCAGTTAGTTAGCTAGCCAGTTAGCTAGTTAGTTAGTCAGTCAACTAGTCAGTTAATCAGTCAGCTAGTTAGCTAGTCAGTCAGTAATCAGTTAGCCTAGTCAGTTAGTTAGTCAGTTAGCTAGTCAGTTAGCTAGTTAGCTAGTTAGCTAATCAATTAGCTTAGTCAGTTAGCTAGTTAGCTAGTCAGTCAGTAATCAGTTAGCCTAGTCAGTTAGCTAGTCAGTTAGCTAGTCAGTTAGCTAGTCAGTTAGTTAGCTAATCAATTAGCTTAGTCAGTTAGCTAGTTAGTTAGTTAGCTAATCAGTCAGCTAGTCAGTTAACTAGTTAGCTAGTTAGCTAGTTAGCTAATCAGTCAGTTAGCTAGTTAGCTAATCAGTCAGCTAGTCAGTTAGCTAGTTAGCTAGTTATAGTTAGCTAGTTAGCTAATCAGTCAGCTAGTCAGTTAGCTAGTTAGCTAGTTAGCTAGTTAGCTAGTCAGTCAGTAATCAGTTAGCCTAGTCAGTTAGCTAGTCAGTTAGCTAGTCAGTTAGCTAGTCAGTTAGCTAGTCAGTTAGCTAGTCAGTTAGTTAGCTAATCAATTAGCTTAGTCAGTTAGCTAGTTAGTTAGTTAGCTAATCAGTCAGCTAGTCAGTTAACTAGTTAGCTAGTTAGCTAGTTAGCTAATCAGTCAGTTAGCTAGTTAGCTAATCAGTCAGCTAGTCAGTTAGCTAGTTAGCTAGTTATAGTTAGCTAGTTGGCTAATCAGTCAGCTAGTCAGTTAGCTAGTTAGCTAGTTAGCTAGTTAGCTAGTTAGCTAGTCAGTCAGTAATCAGTTAGCCTAGTCAGTTAGCTAGTCAGTTAGCTAGTCAGTTAGCTAGTCAGTTAGCTAGTCAGTTAGTTAGCTAATCAATTAGCTTAGTCAGTTAGCTAGTTAGTTAGTTAGCTAATCAGTCAGCTAGTCAGTTAGCTAGTTAGCTAGTTAGCTAGTCAGTCAGTAATCAGTTAGCCTAGTCAGTTAGCTAGTCAGTTAGCTAGTCAGTTAGTTAGCTAATCAATTAGCTTAGTCAGTTAGCTAGTTAGCTAGTTAGCTAGTCAGTTAGCTAGTCAGTTAGCTAGTTAGCTAGTTAGCTAGTTAGCTAGTTAGCTAGTTAGCTAGTTAGCTAGTTAGCTAGTTAGCTAGTTAGCTAGTTAGCTAGTTAGTTAATTAGCTAATCAGTCAGCTAGTCACTTAACTAGTTAGCTAGTTAGCTAGTTAGCTAATCAGTCAGTTAGCTAGTTAGCTAATCAGTCAGCTAGTCAGTCAGCTAGTTAGCTAGTCAGCTAGCTAGTCAGTTAGCTAGTCAGTTAGCTAGTTAGCAAGTTAGCTAGTTAGCTAACCAGTCAGCTAGTCAGTTAGCTAGCCAGTTAGCTAGTCAGTCAGTCAGCTAGTCAGTCAGCTAGCCAGTTATCTAGTCAGTTAGCTAGTCAGTCAACTAGTCAGTCAACTAGTCGGTCAACTAGTCAGTTAGCTAGTCAGTTAGCTAGTTAGCTAGCCAGTTATCTAGTCAGTTAACTAGTTAGCTAGCCAGTTATCTAGTCAGTTAGCTTAGTTAGCTTAGTCAGTCAACTAGTCAGTCAGCTAGTCAGTTAACTAGTTAGCTAGCCAGTTATCTAGTCAGTTAGCTAGCCAGTTATCTAGTCAGTTAGCTTAGTTAGCTTAGTCAGTCAACTAGTCAGTCAGCTAGTCAGTTAACTAGTTAGCTAGTCAGTTAGCTAGTCAGTTAGCTAGTCAGTTAGCTAGTCAGTTAGCTAGTCAGTCAACTAGTCAGTCAACTAGTCGGTCAACTAGTCAGTTAGCTAGTCAGTTAGCTAGTTAGCTAGCCAGTTATCTAGTCAGTTAACTAGTTAGCTAGCCA